GAGAGAGAGAGAGAGAGAGAGATTCTAGTAAACAACTTAGAAAGCACTTATAAAACATACTTAACAAATTCCCAGTGTATAAATAATTCAACACATCCCTGACTGCATCACTCTCAACAGTCCCTGTCAGGACCACCTCATTAGTTCTACTCTCTGTCATCTCAACACCAAACATTGCTCTGAAGTAGTCACTGTTCACAGTGAGAATACATCTGTGTGCATGATAGACTTCTGAATCCACCTGGAAAACAACAACTGAATATTACAGATAATTCAAGTTAATTTATACATAATAACCATGTCAAAATGACAGACATAATGAAAATTTGATTTTGTAAAATTTTCAAATTTTTATTTAGGGGTTTATGTTTATTTATATTATTCTAAAACAATCTAGTGAGTATCATATTTGTTTTTTTAATATAAATTTATTAGGCATTTTACAGAGAGAAGGGACTAGGAAATATTTCATAAGTATATTACAGCTAAACTCTAAAATAATTTTAAAATACATTCAAACTGAATGAGGGTAATGGGAGTTAAAATGTGTCTCGCCACTTGGACATACATATGATGGTGCTTATATAGTACCTGTACCTTTATCTTGACATCACACAGGTCTTCCCTAGTTCTAAGCTGGTTCAGTTTGGACAGGGTCCTGTTGCCAATGTTCTTATCACCAATTTTCACCTGTACCAACTCTAGTTTTGTCCTTACAGCTGGTGCTCTAAAAGCATACGACAAGGTTACATATACAATGTATCACGGATTCACACTTTATTTTAAAAAAATAAATAAATAAAATAAATGCAAGCCAAACTGAATAACATAAATATGAAATTTACGGATAATTGGTTTAGAAAATTCATCAGTAACCATTACACTTTCGTATAATAGAGTATTACAAACAATGAGAGAAAAGTCTGATCACAAAAATAGAAATCTGGCTAATGTACCGATGCCTACTCGTGAGGTCTACTCGTACTCGTGTGAAACTCGTCTTTAGGCAACAAGCAACAATTACAACAAAACCTTTTCGTTGGTATAATTCCATTTTACATGTAATAGATGTCCCAAAAATGAAGCATGCGGTCCAAATTTCCAAATTCATAACTGAAGCTCCAACAAAACATCTTTTGGGTAATCCCTCCCCCCCCCCCCTCCTCCACAAATAATATTAGCACACAGTTTCGTTATTTGTTACAGCGCTAAATATATCCCACATACATCACAATATAATTAATGAAAGTTAACCTTGGTTTTCTGGGCATTGTTTTCCGTACAATGGGCAGTTTATCTATCTGTCAGCAAGAGTCATTGCTCCGGTAATTCTGGTTGTCATCTGCTTTCAGCTTAGCTTATTACGTGATGTACAGCGACCTCTGCAACAAGAAAAGCCAAATCCGGTGAAGAGTATTAAGACATATAAAAAGTTCATACCCTAAGGCAGTTTAAAATGAGCTTAATTATATATCTAAAATATATTTATATAAAAAACTGAAATTACCTAAAACATGAATGTCATTGTTATTAAAAAAGAGCATCTTTATTTTGAGCGCCCTCTATTCGGCTGCAGAGCCGCACAAGCATGGCATCGGGGCCTTCGACTGCTTCTGTGTTTTACAAAGCGATTGAGAAAGTTCTAAAAGGTTGGACTGCATTTCAGGTAAGAAATGTAGCAGATCACTTTCAGATGAGCACGTGACAAGGTATTTGTTATTTGAAGAGCACTATTAGTTCTCGAATTCAGTGTGTGTGTGTGTGTGTGTGTCACTGTGTGTGTGTGTGTGCGTGTGTTGTTGTTGTTGTTTTTGAGGGGAAGGGTTGTCTCTGTGTGTGAGGCCAAAGTTTCTTGATTAATTTACCCCAGGTAAGTATGGGGAAGAGTAAGGCCAAAGCGTCACTGTCGCCACTGTGTCAGTAGTCAAGCTCATTGGCAATTTACTATGTACGCCTTGGATTATTTTAAATAAGATTTTTGAAAATCTTTCATGGATAAATTGTTTTATATTTCAGCTTGCAGTAAGTCATGGGTTTGGAGGTGCACACACACAGGAGAAGGCAGTATGGCTGGTTGGTGCCGTGGAACAGTGGTTTACTGAGAATGGTAGCGATTATCTTTCTTCAGTGTAATTTATTTAGACACTCACAGTAAGATAAACAAAGATGGACAAGTTAAGGTTACCGTAGTAGCAGTAAATAGATTTCAGCATCTTATTTTTGAAAAAAAAATGCATACAACATATAGATACAAATATCAAAATAAAGTGGTAAGAACTAACTTAAACTTATGATATACATATAAGCACTTGTAGGTTTTTGACAAAGAGTATTATTTGTTCATTTTTTTAAAATAATTTGAATGACACACTTATTAGACAATTTATTGTTATTAGTTCAGTGAGTAAATGAATGTAAATGTATGTACATATTTTCTTTGATTTCAGATGACATAGAACCATGGGAATTGTCAGACTTCTTTGAAGACATTATGAGCACTGAATTTGACACAGTGATTGATGACAACAGCTTACTTGTGGTGAGTTGGTTGCCATTAAAAGGTCAGTTACTTTAACCATGTGAAGTGTATTTAAATCATTGTGTATTTAAATCATTGTAGACTATTATTTTTAGCAGCCAGGTACGGTATCCCAGGATGAAACAATATAATGATAATTTATTCATAAATTTTAGGGTTTAGGTTTTAACATGTTAAACTTAATGTGATTAGTGTTTCTGGTTTATTTATATATTATAGATTTGTAAATTAGTCACTAATGAACAGTGAAATGTTATTGCTTTCAGGTTTCAAAAGCAATATGCCAATTCTATGCCCTCTGCAAGCAAGGGAAAGAGGCAGAGGTTTTAGCAGATGTTGAAAAGATACCGACTGCTTCTCTGCAAAACTGTGTGGTGGCCCAGGATGAGGATGAGGTAGGAAATACAGGGTTGAAAAATGCTTTTTTCTTAACATAATAACAAAGAAACAATTGTTTAAATATCTTAACTTTTATATGATGAGTTACTTGCCACTTTTGTTCAACAGATTATTTGCCACATATTTTCTTTTTTTTGTGTGTGTGAATTATATCTTCAATCATTTCCACCACAATAATATCATGAGGTAAAATGTAAAAGATGACAAGCACAACTGCAAAGCTTTTCTTGGTAATTTTAATCAAGACAAATACAGTTAAGTATTTCTCTGTATGATTCTGTTATAAAGGATGATGATGATGAGGAGGAGGAGGAGGAGGTACCCCGTCTATCCCAGGGTGGTGCCAGCAGATTACAGCCAGAACCCATGGACCACCAGTCTGCCACAGAGGGAGCCACTGGCTGTGATAATACTACCACTGAGAACAGTGACACAAAGACGGGTAAGAAATGGGAGAATGACATGGGGGAAAAATAAGAAACATACAATTGTTATATATAAATATTTTAGATTCTTGGTACCTCAGTTATAAGATATTAGTTTATGTGCTGATATATTTATACCAAAGAAAGATATTAATATGTATGAATAAAGCATCAGGTTGTTGAAAAATGAATGATTAGATTTAATGGCAAGTGATGAAAATTACTATGCACTCCTTATTTCAAATTGTTTTTCAATTCCATTGTATTAATTGGAAAAATCCTTTGTTTGCAGAAGACCAGTCCAGTTCACAAGATGCAGAAATGGAGGAGGAATGGACTACAGTTACATCAAAGAAAAAGAAAAGGAGATAGCAAATGCTTCAATTTTTTAAATCCTAAGCTATCTTTTCTTTTACAAAATCTCAGTTTAATTGGAGTTCTCCAAATGGAAGATATTTTGGTGTCCTGAAAGTCTGTGTAAAATCACACAGATTGTTGATATCGCCTATCAGCATTGCAGCAGTGATGGATTAGTTGTTCATAGACGAGCTGGTTTGACCCCAAAAAAAATTTCTGAAGGAAAAATTCAGGGATGTCAGTTAATTCCTAACAGAAGAATCCACTAGTGACTAGAATGAGAGCTTTGTTTGGTTAGAAAGGCCCTAGTGCAGATGTGGTCTGTATTTGCTCTTTGTGCAATATTAAGGCAGATATGAAAAGGATACTTCATCAAGTAATAATATTTTCATTTCAGATATTGGATTAAATTGGACTACAGTATCTTGAACTGACAAAATCAGTAGTGTTATATGTTTTTATAACTATTGTCACTTTTAGTTTTAAGGAAAATGAGTAGAAAAAGAACATCAAGAAGTCAAAACCTGAATTAATGTCAAATATTTATTTTGTTGTCACTTTTACCAGCTTAAAATTTACATACATATGTTACATACACAATAAAGAGTAGCAACTTGCTACTAATTAAATACTTTGAACATTGTAACCTTTTTTCTTCACAACTAAGCTGCAGTGTCAATAATAATTCAAATTAAAAATCTTTATAAGTCTAATCTTAAATCTTTCAAGCCTCTGTAATGGATACTTCCATCATCAGCACATTACATACAGCAAATAGCTTTAAAACTTGGCATCTTGCAATATCGCCCTTGGAATGCTGCCTAAGTCATCCGCCATCTTGAGAACAAACGTGGCGGCCACTAAGACTGAGTGACTGTCACAGGCATTATGAATGGTGGGCAGAATGGTTGAATGTCTCTTCCTCTTGACAGTGAGAGCAAAAGAATTTGTAAACTTGGCATACAATACTGTCCCATTAATGGTACAGTGCATATAAATATCAATATTGCAGCTTTCTCCATTTTACTTCCTACTTTTCAATTCTACAAATTCTCCCTGAGCAGCTTGCAAAAACACTTCCAGTTGTTTACCTTAAATAGTTCACACACAAAGTCAACACCAACAAGTATTTTTGCAGGGTGCTTGCAAAGAGCAGTCTTTTCCATTATCCAGGTCTTTTTTTTTTTAACGTATAAAATGCAGTATTAAGTCCTTGAATCATGTGCCTATGTCTCTTCTGTAAGAGAAGATTAGAACAGTAGTGTGCTCATGCCTCCCATCTCGCTCTGTTCTTTCACGAAGATCTCGAAGTACTGGTAGATGATGGTGACGGCAAGCAGGATGCCAGTACCACTGCCAATGGCGCCTAAAAAGATAAGAAGTTGCGTGAGAGCTTTCATCTATAAAGAGGCAAGGCTGCAGATTTTTATGCTTGTTTAATGTAACTATTATTTTATTGATATAATTTTTTTAGAAACCTGCATTAATGATTTAAAATCATTCTCTGACATTTTCTTTATATTAACACTAGCTCTATTTTTGGACAGGGAATATTTTTGAAATTAACAAGATTTACCCCTCACACTGTCACCTTATTTACTTCAGAAGTTTTACATAAAATATCCAAGTGAACATGTCAATCTCGCACTTAAATCAGTGTCTACTTACCCATGAAGTCAGCCATGACAGAGAGAGCACCTATACACAGCCCACCAAAGGCAGCAGCGGTGGGGATGTATCTGTTCAACTCGTGGATCATGGACTTCTCACGATGTCCTCTCATCACCATCTGCTGCTCTTTGAGTTGCTTAGCAACCTATAGAACATCCACAGTATTAGCATTATTCATAGTATTAGCAACTCATTCACAATTATATGAAACTTTTCTGGTTGTTTATTTGGCATTCAGTCTTGTAGCCATCATCATTATTATCATTGTCAATTTTCAGATCTAGTATGTTAAAAATAATTATTATTCTTTTTAATAATGGCTGGGATACTCTAGTTTGGTATTTGCAAAATATCAAATCTTCAAAGCTACCTAAAAATTGAGATTACTAGGAACAAGTGAAAACAGATACTCAAATTTTGACAAAATGTCACGATAAAAAATGACAAAATGCATTTTTAAATCGTCCCCAACCACAGAAATATTCGAGCATTTTCAACTCACATCTTTAGCGCTGGATCCAGAGACATCTATCCATGTCTTGGAGAAGAAGGCGCAGGATCCTAGCATGAACACGATGTACAGAATGGCGTGAATGGGGTCCTCTAGCACGTGGGATAACGTCTCAGGAGGGGACAGGTAGTAACACAGACCTCCAATAGGGTAGGAACGAGCTGGGCCGCCACCACCAACATCCTAGAGTGGTATATTAGGATGTTATAGTATGTGTAATCGTATTAGTTGTGCTTTAACAGTGTAGATAAGAAACTGTTATATTTACATACTGTGAACAAAAGAGGTGCACCATTTGCTCAACGTGAGACACCACACCTAATGATTGTTATTATAATGAATATTTTGTTTTTTGAAATTAGAGTTTTAATACAATTCTGGCTTTCTTTGGGTTGAAAGACTAATCAAGTTCTACTAAGGTACATATAAAATCTGAAATTTTAAAAGTGACAGAAAAAAAATCAACAT